GTAGTGTGTGTGTGTGTGTGTGTGTGTGTGTGTGTGTGTGTGTGTGTGTGTGTGTGTGTGTGTGTGTGTGTGTGTGTGTGTGTGTGTGTGTGTGTGTGTGTGTGTGTGTGTGTGTGTGTGTGTGTGTGTGTGTGTGTGTTGTGAGCATCCATGTCACGGGTCTTGTGGTGAGCGGTGTGGTGGTACTTGGGCCAAAGCGAAAGGAGACAACGAGAATGTGCACTTATCCTTTTCGCGTGGCAGCTGCATCGATTTCATCCCAACAAACAAACAAAACACATGTGCCACCGAGGAGAAGAGCGAGCCGAGCTGTTCACTCACCGAGGAACCATCTGTTTGGATAAGCGATGCGCCAGACGTCGATTGCGGATTCGCGCTCGCGGGTGATGACGGCGCCCTCGTTCGCCCGCACACCGCCAACAATGATGTACGACACCGTAATCAGCTTCTGCTCGGTGAGTGAGTGAGCGCCCTCGTTCGCCCGCACACCGCCAACAATGATGTACGACACCGTAATCAGCTTCTGCTCGGTGTGTGTGTGTGTGAGTGTGTGTGTGTGTGTGAGTGTGTGTGTGTTTGTAGAGCATGAGGTGGTGTACGATGCTTGGGGTGTGTGTTTGCGTGTGTGTGTGTGAACGCCACCCTGTCTCCAGCTCTCTGTCTCTCTGGCTCTCTGTCTCTTCCACCCGCCCCCTCCACAAGGACACGCTGCAAGGAGACAGGTCGCGAGCAGGCCGCGCCGCACGTACGACGGTGCTGAGGTACTGCACGGCCTGGTCAAACGTCTTCTGCTCCTCAAGCGCTGTCCGCAGCACAAACCCAACAGGGTGATACCCCTTCAAGAGGCGAAGAAGACGCGTAGAAGCAGAGGACGGAGGAAGGGTGAGGAGTGGGGAGTGCAAAAGGGCGGAGGCGATGTTAGCAGTTGTCACGTCGTGGTGGTGGTGGTGGTTGTGGTGGTGGTGGTTAAGAATTGAGAAAGTGATTAGTGCAACAGCGTGCACGTACCTTGAGTGCATCAAGCAGGTTGTCCCACAGCGTTCCATTCTTGGTCCACCGCTCGTCAAGCGACACGCTGGAGGCACAGGGAAGGGTGGAGGGGCGAGTAGTTGCGTCAAAATGTTGCGGTAGATGCGAGTGAAATGTGCCGTCGTTATTGATGAGCATAGCTGCATGCACATACACACTCACACACACTGTATTCGCATGTGGACTGCTCACCTGAAGCCATCTGGGCGCATGCCAGTGAGGATGCCGACGTATCCCGCATACGTGGTCGCTCTATGTTGGGGTGCCATGCACAGCGTGAGCTCATGCTGAAGCGCCAGAGTAAACATGCGTGCGCTCACGCACAATCACACTTCACTGCAAACACACGTACACATTGCCACACACACACACACACACACACACACACACACACATACACACATACACACACAAACACACACCGGTAGAGGGTTGGCCCTTGCTCGCCGTGTTGAAATGAGACCTCCACTGTCGTTTGCTGAAGGTCTGGGAGATTGAAGTCGAGGTTGCGGCCGTGGAAAATGGTTCCATTCGATCGCTGAGCGACAATGGAAGTGCAGGCCGTGTCCGCTTCATAATACAGGTTGGCCAGCACGACATCGCCGACGTCCACATCGAGCGCATCGGCGGCGCCCCGCATCTCGTCCGCCCATGGCTGGCCCAGCGCGTTATCGAGGTCGCCGAGAAGCACAGTGATGTCGTCAAACACCTTTGGGCTCAGAAGCTTCTTCATGTACCGAATCAGGTCTTGCATCTCTGGCTTGTAGTTCTTCACAATGTGGGCCCAACGCTCCTTTGGGGGTTTGCTCAGGTCAACCACATAGTGCGGAACATCCTTCGTCGTGCCATTGGCAGGTTTTGGGTCTGCATTGAGACGTTGACAGAGGTGAGGAAGGGTATGCAAGTGTGTGTGCGTGTGTGTTTGGTTGTGTTCCAGTGAATGCGACATGTGCTGCGACAAAACAAGGAGCTCGCAATGTACACACACACACACACACACACACACACACACACAAACACACACACACACACAACAGATCTTACTGACTCTTGATTACGACGCTGTCGTCGGTTGCAGTGGAAGGAACAGCCACCGCCACAGTGACGGCGACGATCGCCGCCACAAACACAGCACCAAAGCGCATCCTCCTCTTCTTCCTCTTGCTTGTTTTGGATTGGTTGTGGAAGATTATTGAATGACATCCGTGGAACATCGCAACTTGTGTGTGTGTGTCTGTGTGTGTGTGTGTGTGTGTGTGTGTGTGTGTGTGTGTGTGTGTGTGTGTGTGTGGTGTTTTCTCGCGCTCTCTCTCGCACTCACACACACACACACACACACACACCCCGGGATTTGTGTGATTGGGGGGGGGGGGGGGGGGGGGGGGGTTTATATAAAAAAAGAAAAAAAAAAAAA